AATAAATTTATCAAAACTGGGATTTGAACCCACGCACTCTTACGGAGATAAGAATTTCAGTTTGGGCTTTCAACCACTGGGCTTTAACGTGTTAAGAAATTATCGAATCTAAAATAAATAATAAAAAGCTCTTCTATCTTTATAAAACAGATAAATTTTGTCAGAAGTGGGATTTGAACCCACGCCCTCTCACGAGGACCAGAACTTGAGTCTGGCGCCTTAGACCACTCGGCCATCCTGACTTTTGTTCATCAATTTGAAACTTAATTAGATTTACATCTCTACAAGTTGCTTTTCAATTTAAAAAAAAAAACATTGACTAATTTTCAGGGAAAAAAATAATAAAAATTTGACAAAAAGTTTCTTTGTTTTTTTTTTCTTGCTTTTTCTAAATTAAATGAGTATGAGTTTTAGTTAATATCTTTTAAACATAAAAAATGGTTTTAAACTTCATTATGAAGCATGACCTTATTCTGGAACTTTGAATTCAAATTTTATTTGGTAACATATTATTTAATTGAATGTGTAAATGAGAGATTATAGTTTATGACATTGTCTATGAGTTTACTGAATGAATGGCTAGATTTTTACTGGAGCAGTAAAATTGAAGAGTCGTCTATTACGACCATCGTAAATATCACTCTTAGACATGAGTTAAAGTATCTTAAAGGAATCTAAAGTTTAAAAGTATCATATTTTTATTTTTATTTTTTTTAGTTTATGTTATGAAATAAAATTTCTCAAAAAAAAAATTTTTGAAAGATACACGAGGGTGAAAACTCAAAAGATCAATATTTTTACTGTAGAATCCTATCTCACCCCAAATTATTACAAAAGCGAAAAAAGAAGCGGTTTTTATACAACTTATTCATAATGCTAGTCCTACTTGTATATTGTATTTGATTGAAAAAACATCATACAGGTAGAAGTTCTTCCCTTCTTGGGACTTTATAGACCAACATATACTTTGATTATATGGACAATACATGGAATATCTTAACTATTTGATACTTTTATATTCACATAATTGTATTTGAGATCAATTTACCTCTAACCTCTAATAGATGTTATTAGTACCCTAACTAATTCATTTTTACTTATAATAGAATATATCTGAGAGATGACTTTTCAAAAAAAAGGTAAGTTTAATTTAAATGATTTTTTATAACTAAAAGTGTTTTTGTTAATCTAAATAATTTGGTAATAAATAAAAAGTATTGAAAAACTAACTCGTTAAAGCAAAATTTTAATAGTTAGCTTGAGTATTGCTTAACGGGTTAAAGCATATATTTCGACTAAAAAATCTTGAGTTTAAACTCTTACTACCAAATATTGTATTAAGAAAAACTTTAATAGCTAGTTATTATCACAAAAGGGATGGGATGGCTTCTCTGCCTTGTTTGGTGTAGGAGAAAAAGTAACACCATACTTTTAGGTCTGTATGCTTATTGGGAATTAGAATAAGAATAAATTGGAATGAAAATGATAATGTTATTTATTTGATCTTGTCTAGTACAAATTTTCTAGAATTGAAATCAGAAATTGAAATGGAATAGGAATAGGCATTAGATATATAATAATGACTAGTATACTATTTTTTTCTAGCTAATTATAAATTCATTAATGTGGTAACTTTTTTAATTAAAATATTAGCAAATTTTAATTTATTTTATTGATAATAAATATTTTTTTACTATAACAATTTATTTAATATAATAAATAATTACTAATTAAAATAAAATTACATCAACTAAAAAATTTTCCTACTAGAACAATCATCCTTTAATAAATTACATCAACTAAGAAAGTTCTCCTAGGTCTTTTCCAATAAATCTAGCATAAAGTTAACTCAACCAAGATTTCATGAGAAGATCCTCCACATGTTGTATTTAAATAAAAAAAATTGGATAGGAATCATTATTTTAAACATATATTCTACCAAAGATGAACTCTGATAAGCGTTTGCAACCTTTTTTCCCCCTAATTTTCAATTCAACATTAGGGTTTTCTGTATCCTCTCACCTGTTTTCAGAAACTTGATTCTGTACAAAATGAACAGAATCTATCTAAAATTTAAGAATATGAATTTAACACAATATCAGAAAAATATACCACAATAACTTGGGATTAAAAATAAAGAATACCATCACATAATGCAATGAAAAGAAACTAAAGAACAATAAAATTGTCAAATCCATGGCAGATCATAAGAATCATAGTATGGTGGTTAGCAACATTCTACTGCCTGCACCATTGAATCACTTTTGTGGAGGAAATGGAGCAAGATTCCCCAAAAAGAAAAAAAAAAAACCGAAAATGGGAACGCTCAATTTATACATGATGAAACCTATCAATTGAACATAACATGTCTAATATTTGTCCTTCACTAAGGCTTAACATGTAAAGGAGAGCCCATAACATGTAGCAAAATCATGTGTATTATCAGCAGTCCACATATTAATCCACATTGCCAACCCACTGAGAACAGAAGAAAAAAAAAGAAAAAAAAGATTCGTTCATGGATGAAACTTCAGAACGTCAATATGACAAAAAGCCTACAAAATGCATATTTTGACAAAAACAGGAATGCTACCACAAGAGTCGGGCATCTCTCAAGCAATCTTTTTGTCCTTCAGTGGTCCTCTTGGGATTTTAGAAAGCACCTTCTCATCAAACACTACATACTGCTTTTTGATCTCTGCAATTGCTTTCTCTGCAAATGCATCCACCTGATCATCGTATTTCTCGTAGAAGACGGGCAAGGTGAAGAGCAAAACAAATCCTGTCACACATTGATTTGACAACAAAAGTCAATAAAAATGAAAGACGTAACCAAAGCAACTAATTAGCATTCACAAGAGGCAACCTGAACATAACTTAGTGGGTTAAGGCACGGTTGAATGCACCACCCCACATTAGTTGAACTCAAACAAAGAAAAAGAGAAAAGGAATTCACAATAACAACTTCCTCACCTATATATAATAAGGTTAGGAAATTGAACCAGCTTCCAACAATAGAGAGAACCCACAAACCAGCAATCGCCTAACAATCAAAATTACGAGATTATGGGTGAAATAGAATCATTTAATGCCATCTTCAAAGCTAGATCTAGAACTAAATCATGATATAAAATTCCAAGAAGTAGAAGTTTAACATACATATAGAAACTTCTTCAGATCCCTTCCTGATGCAATTTCTCGCAAGACAGCAACAGCCCTGTTAATCTCAACTCTCAAAGCAGCAGCAATCTCTCTAACTGGCTCCTCCGGAATGTGAACTTGAGGAATATGTGGCAGAGACCTGTATGGAAAAAGGTGTCACTATACAGCTAAGCGAACAATTAAAAGATGAACGCCAATGCTACAACAACTTACTTGTTGATGAAGAAAGAAGCATTGGACCACAAAAACACTACTGCTAGAGCAGCCATCAAAATGTGGCAAATCAAAGTCAGAAAGTGATACTCGAGCAACTCAAATAAAATCCATGCGACTGTTGCTCCTCCAAGGACTCCTCCGGATACCTTTTTGTTTCTCCACAGGAAGATATCAGCCGCTGTAGAGAAGAGATTAACACAGAAGAAGGAAAACAGAGATCACGAATTACACTCAATGAAAATTAAATTATATGACATGAAGGTGTTCATATACCCAAAGTGAAATTCCAGCCATTTCGGAAAGGAAAAATTACACTATACTACTGGTAATCAATCAAAATATGATAAGTCCTGACTCGTGTCCCCGGAAACTGAAAATCTGAAAGGTCATATAGGATCGGAGGCCATTTATTGGAGGATGAAACAGGATCGACTTATAAGCATAAGCTAGAATTATAAATAGATCTAGATCTACCAAAACAAACTAAAAGCTCAGCAAAACAAAAGAGAAACCGGATCCACTTCATACGCCATTTAAGAAGATCAATATGATATCCGGATTCTAAATTCAGCCATTTCCTCAGACAGTTAATCCACTTATAAGTGAATAAATCAAAACCATAAACTCGAATCGAAACACAGAAACTGTCACATCGTTTCTGCCATCCAAACTCCTCCTCGTAAATGAGGAGATCAGACCTTAGTTTCAAACCGACGAACATTTCCGCGAGATGGAAAGAAAAAGTATAAAAAATACTCACGTTTTCCCCCACCGAAGACCTTGTGGACGGGCTTTTCCCTGCCGAAGAGGCGGTAAATCTTGGATTTGATAGCGGCGGAAGTATGCCCCTTCTCATCCTCCGAATCCGAAGAAGACGAATCGTGGGCGTGAATCTTCTCAGTGATCTTGTCAACGAAGGACTCCCCTTTGGGCTCCTCGTGCTCGTGCTCGTGCTCGTGATGCTCGGCCATGGCGACCACCTAGCTTCAACAGATCCCGGAAAAGCCTCCGGCGACGGCGACGGCAAGGGCAAGGGCAAGCGTTCTGAAAACGAAGAATAGGTAAAAAGAAAAAACCGATCAAAACAAAACCCTTTTCGCCCGAGAGAAACCACGAGGATTGATTTTTCCGAGAGCGCGGACTCTCTCTCTCTATATAAATAAATAATAAATAAAGAATACAGAAAATGATGAATCTAGAAGGCCGAATCTGAGCCGTTCAACCAAGCCCGACCAGATTTAGATTTAGCCCCACCTTCACCTTCATTTTTAGGTTTTCCATTGACAGCCACAAAAGCAAAAGAAACTCCATTAAGAAATCCCTCGCGATTCGAACACGTCGCGTCTGTCTTCACTCTTTGAAAATTTGAAAATCAAACAACACCACGCACGTGACTTCCACCACTCAACGGGAGCGTTTCTTAACCCCCTTTTATCTGCCGCCACGTGGATTCTACCAATGGTCGTCATTTTTTTTTCATTTTTAACAAAAATTTTTCTTCTAGTTCTGACAACTGGCAACTCTTTGATTGTAACAAATAGATTATTAAATCTTCCTTGATTTAAAATACTCATTCTTCAAAATTATTTTTACCTAAAATGTTGACCTGTCCTATTAATCTAGCATAAGTTGAATTATAAATTCAGTTTTTCAGCGTTATCATGCGTATTAAATTTCTAAATTAAAAAAAAAAATTAATTAACGAAATGTCATAACTAGAGAATAAATATATGGGGGTTGGAATCTGAATGGTGCCGACTTGAGCAGGAATCGAATTTCTTACTGAACAAATCTGAAAACGAAAAAAAAAATTTGGAGAAGGAAATATAATAAAAAGTAACTAAAAAGGGAGAGTTAGGCATGGGAAAGAGAGAGAGATTCAGAGGAAAATTGAAGGCTTTACCTGTAGAATCCTCATCGCAGTTGTGGTCGTATGAGTTGAAATTTAAGATGGAATGGTTGTTTTTCTCTGAGTTTCTCGGGAAACAAACACATTATTTATGCAGAAAATGAGGAAGGTGAAGCTCTGAAGAAGACCGACTTTGAAGACGACAAGGAAAAGTTTTGTGGAGTACTAATTTGTGGACGGATTTAGCCTCGGAAATGGAGGCGTTTTGCGAGCTTAGATAGGAGGTATGGCAGGGGTGTTTTCGTCCTTTGAGAAAGTGGGTTGTTTGATGTTGTTATCCATGGAAGATACATTCCAAGGAATATGCCGTAGATTGGAATCTAAGCGAAGAGTCTGGGCCGTGTTTGTTGGATGTTCATGGAATCAAAAGTATAGTGGGCTTATGGGCCCAACTTAGAAAACATTTGGGCTATGGGCTTCTTTCACGATGTTAAATTACCCCGGTAATAGCTGAATTGTATATTGCAGTGATAAAAAATAGATTGGGCAATCACAGGAATGATCAAATTTAATAAAACTTTTTAGAAAATGGCTAAACTTACAGGATATTGCAATAATGACTAAATAGTTTTTTTTTCTTAAATATTAAAAAAATGTTAAAGACAAATATACCCTGGTATTATATGCATAATTTTAGGGATTTAAGATTTTTACTAATAGCAAAAACAATTGACCTTACTAATAGGGATTAACTGTATTTAATGAAAAGTAAATGAAATTAAAAAAAAAATTATCATAAATCTAATTTAAAGTTGCTCATTAGAATTTGAAAGTAGATTTAAAAAAAAAATTGAGAAGACTGTATTGAGCTATATTTTGAAATTTACTCCTCTAAATTAGAAGATTCAGAAATAAAAAATAAATGAAATTAAAATAATTAACTTAAATCTAATTTAAAGTTGCTAATTAGAATTTGAAAGTAGATTTTAAAAAAATGATAAGAGTGATATATTTTGAAATTTACCTATTTAGATTTATAAATAAGAGATAAATATAAATGGGGAAAATTAACATTACGTTTTTTTAAATTAAAAAAAAAACAAAACAAAAGGGTTTTGAACAGTAGTATGCCCCAACAATCCAACTTTCAGAACCTCCGCCGCCCAATAATCCAACCTTCACCGTCGCCCAACCCTTAGCAGCCCTCTATACACACCGGACGCCGTCGAACGCCGCTACCGCCTCAATGCCGAACGATGGCCCTCACTGCTTCACGCTGTCGCGCCCCCTCCTGTTGCCACGTCATTCGCCCAGTTGCCGCCACCTATCCCATCTCGCTGCTGCAATGCCCAGCCCGAACCGCTTTGCCCAACCCGCAGCCGCATCGCCGCCCCTCATTCCTTCACGCCGAACGCAGTCACCCAGAATCCAACATTCACTTGATCCGTCCAAACCAGATTCGACCCTCTCGCCACAGACTAAAACTGGTCGTGGTTGCCCATTACTCTGACTGTTTGATTAAGATAAAATCTTTGTTCTAGTTTTGCGTATAAATCTTAATTTAAAAATATATTTTTTGTATTCCTAAATTTTAGGTGTATTTTTAAAAATATATAGATGTGGGACCTACACATGAGTGTTGTTAATAACCAAAATTCAGGAGTATATGTGTTTAACTCTAACAAACATAATATATTTAAGTAAATTAAAAACTAAATAAAATCTATAGATATGGTTAAAGTTAGAGGAGGAATAACTCGACGATCAAGTGAACGATTAAAGGCTGCTTGGATAACAGGGGGTCGAAGAGAAAGGTGAACAGTCAACTTAGACAATGAAGAAGAGGTATATATACAACAATTTATATATGGCTTGTCTGTTTTTTAAAAAATCATCTCATAGATGTTTAATCTTTATATATACGGATTGAATCATTGAAAACCAAGAACCTTGAGGTAAAGGACTATGCTACGTGGCCCTCCCAATTGACTTGGCACCTTTGCCTTCCCTTCAGTGTCAATTGGGCTATTGGGAGGAGAAAGGATGGGTGGTATTCATATATCAGTTATTCTAAGGCAAAACCAAAAAAAATCTCAAAAGAAAAGGAAGGAACTAAGTAGGAAAGTTTTGGTAAAGGCAGATGAAGAAACTGTCCAAGGGAAGATAAGAGTGGGCACATTCCATTTCACTTTTTGGGGTTTTTGGGATTTTTGACCCCTTCCAATAATCATTTTGGATTTTTGACCCCTTTTGATATTTACTTATTTATGACCCATCTACTTCAGTTTTCTGACCTTTTCCCTTATTTTGCTTGGTAAAATTACCAAATTACCCTCAATTTAAAAAAAAAAATCAAACCCAGCCCTCCCCTCCTTTCCCTCCCTGTCTCGGTCCTTCCCCTCCCTCATTCACTATCTCGTTGTCCATCCCAGTCTTCATCTCGCTATCTCCCTCACTTCGCGCTTCA